GAAACGCTACCTTATGGCTCTGTTTGACAGAGCTTATTTAGGAGCTTATAGCTTATTTTAAGCTACTAATAAGCTATAAACTCTGTTTGGTAATGTTCCCAAAATAAGCTCCTAACTTAAAATAAGAGCTTATTTTGGAACGCTACTTTAGGTAGCGTTTCAAAATAAGCTCCTAGCTTCCTAACTTTTTTTCCATCTGCATCCTTATTATTTTAAAGAAATGACATAATTTACCCTTTTCAATTAAAATTCCTTTCTCTTCTCCTTTATCCGCAACTTTCACTGCAATTATTATTATTATTATTATTATTATTATTATTATTATTATTATTATTATTATTATTATTATTATTATTATTATTATTATTATTATTATTATTATTATTATATTCGCAATAATATTGCTACTTCATTATGAGATGCTAGATCATGATTATGCTAATAGTTTTATTTCAAAATGTTAATTTTTTAAAAAGACAAAATTTTAAATTTTAATATGTAAACAAACTAATTTAAATTTTATGAAGATGTCCTTTTTAGTCTTTTTACATTTATCAGCTTATCAAAAAGCTAATTTTACAAAACACTTTCAATCATAACAACTAGCAGTTTTCAGCTCCGAGCTTATAGCTTTTCAACTTTCAGCTCCTTTTCAGCTTTCAGCTCCTTTTCAGCTTTCAGCTCCTAGCTTATAACTTTTCAGCTAGGTTTGCCAAACAGAGCCTATTTTAAGCTAGGAGCTTATTTTGGGAACATTACCAAACAGAGCTTATAGCTTATTAATAGCTTAAAATAAGCTATAAGCTCTGCCAAACAGAGCCTAGACGGGAAGGGGGAGGAGGAAGTCCGGGGGGGGGGGGGGGGGGGGGGTGGTGGGGTGTTTGGGGATTCAATAGACTTTCTAACAATTTTTGAAATTTTTTAAAATAGTTCTAAGTGAGCTTGGATTCACAATTAGAGTTTTTAAACAAAGCTTGAAAATAAATTTTCTCGCAGCGGAAGTCTTCAGTTTGCCTAAAAATTAAGTAGCTAAAGGTTGAAAGTATTAACCATGTTAGAGTGTGTGTTAAAGTATGGGGTTAGTTTGCAGATGATAAGAAAATAAAGTGCATAAAGTAAATGACACAAATATTTTTATAGCGGTTTAGAAATATTTCTACTCCACTCTTCTCCTTAACTCCAAGAAGATTCCACTAAGTATTGTACTATTGTTACACAAATACAAAGTGATGGAAGCTAATACAACTTCTTCCAATTAATAGTCCCTGAAATAGGGGTCAGCCACCAAATCATCCTACTCTTCACTATCTGACTAGAGCTAGCCAAGGGTCATCTACTAAGTCGCCTTGCTAGGATGATCACACAACTCCTTCCTGTGGAAGATGGTTGTAAGTTGTTAAGTGTTAGAATTTAATTTGGAAATCACTCAGATTTCACTTCAACTTAGAAATCTAGATTCAACATTACTCTTTGAACACTTGATCACGCGATAGCTTTCAGCAAAATATTTCAACACTAGTTCCTTTCTTCTAAACTTGGGGTTTTCCTTTTATAAAAGAGGAGGGATGAACGCCAACTTGAAATTTGAATCTTCCTGTTGTCATTGAGCAAGTGGTAGCATCCGAAAGCTGCCACAATCCCCTAAAATCCACTGTCATATCTCTTAACTTATGTAGGTTATCCTTAGGGTAAATACCGTTTTTCTATTTAGATTATAAGCACTCCGAAGTAAAAAAGAGATGCTCTTTCTTATCACCAATTTATCTTTTCCATAGAACTCTAGGTGTCAGACAAGTTGTAATTATCTAACTAACGGCTCCTTTTATTAATTTTAGAATGAACTTCTTTCGAGGATGATAGTCGTCCTTCAACGTCTTTTAATAGATCTCCAACATGCTTGGAATATAGTAGAGAATATTTTTTTCATCATCCATGAAGTCCTGACTTGAGTGTCTTTCTTTCCGTTCCACTTTACTTCCTTCCGATATGACTCCTTCCAGAAGTTTTCTTCCAGATGCTTCTTTCCGAACTATTTCCTTCTGGATGCTTCCTTCTGCAACTGCTTCCTTCCGGTTAGTCCAACTGTGAAGCTCATCTAAAGTTACAAAAAAGAATGAGGGGTCTAAAGTTCTTATACAATACTCTTTACATCATCAAGATCTATTACAAATATTCCTAACAAATTTTGTATAATTTTTTTAACAAAATAAAATAGAAGTAAATAAATAAAAATGTTGAAAAAAAAATCGAACAAAGACTCCCATGAATCTCGTGGTTGCTATATATTCAAAATTCAAAGTTGGGTTACAAGTATGTCAATGTGGGTACAAGATCTCTAGATGGTCATCTGATTCTTCAATTGGAACACTCCACTGAAGGGCCTCGCGAACTCAAGTGGCTTGATCTTCAAAGAAGGGCTTATATGTATAGTTTGTTCTTCATTGAAAGGCCCCCAAATTCAAATGGCTTGATCTTCAATGGAGGGTTAGATCAATATGCTTTGCACGATCATAATGGAGGGGATTTTAATTTAGAAGCTTTTTATTTTCAAGATGTTTCAAAGATGATCCCATGATGATTTCTAAGATGAATGAATGCTCATATTTATAGTTGTAGGATAAGAAGAGTTTTATCCACACGGGCTTAGCTCACTAGTTTTGTAGGCAGTATTTGGGAGAAGAGACCAAGAGAACCTCACACATCGGCAGTGTACGGTGTGGATTTTTTCCAAAGTGGCAGATCCCCTGTACGCACCAACATTTGGACATGTCTACTGAGTCATTGTGATAATATCAATATTATCCCAAATATATTCAAATATTTTAATAAAAAAAATCATTTTAATCAAAATTCTAATGTATCACTACTACAAAAATGAACATTGAAATATGACTTTTCACTATACTTCTTAATAAAAGTGTAGTGTATAGTTGAAAAAAAAAAAAGTACGGTGACAAAATCGTAAATAAATGTCAAAAGCAAAGGGCTACCTGTGTGCATTCTTCTACAGATGCTGAGTATAAGACTTTGGCTGATGTGTCAGCTGAACTCACGTGGCTGGTTGCTTTGATGCGTGAGCTAGGCTTGCCTCTTACGGTGTCTCCTAAGTTGTGGTGTCTAGGAGCTACATATCTTTGTGCTAATCCTGTTTCCCATGCACACACAAAACATGTTGAGATTGACTATAATTTTGTGCGTGACAAGGCGAAAGGGGAGCTCCAGGTTAATTTCATCTCTACAAAGGATCAAGTTGCGGACATATTTACCAAACCACTAACTGGGCCTCGTTTCACTATGCTTCCTGACAAGCTCAATGTTGTCAGTCATCCCACTTGACTTGTATCTGTGTTGTGTTTACTATTGTACTCTAGACTTGTATATTATGTATAGGACTCTTCACTTGTATTTATGTTCTGTTGGTTCCTATTCTCAATAACATTCAGAAACATGTTCTGATCTATACAACTATCAAATAATTGTGGCCATTTGACAGCAAACGTGGCTCTGGCCGCCCCTCCGTGAGATTTGACATTTGGTGAAGATTTTTGGTGTTTTGATGTTAAATAGGTTGGAGATATTTTTTATTTTTCTGAGTCATCATTATTTAAGTACTCTTTCACAATTTTATCAGGCTGAAGTGTGAAAACTTTTGGGATGAGAAATTTTGTATTTTTTTTTATGAGCAAGTTTAAATATTCCAGCAATAAAGTGTGTCGTCCTAGATTTCCATTTCTGATATCCTCAGCAACATTAATTAAACTCTTATCGATATGTGATGCTTTAATTAATGTTTTACCTCCAAAAAGATATCATTGCGTCACCTAACATTCACTTCGTCTTCTTCAATTTATCCTCCATATAATTCATTCCCAGAATCTGGACACCCTATTGCCACGGTGCCCAAATTCCCCATTTCCTCTCACCTTCTTATCATTCATTAATTATTACTTTATTTTATTTTTATTATAATTTTTCTTTCATCTCAATCTTATCCTCAATTATATGAATGGGAGGAGCGAAATCTCTGCAAATTTTCCTTTCCTTCAAAGTCAAGCAAATTTAAAATTTCATTATGTTTTGGTACCATAGCATTTTAATATTCCATATTCACATCAAATTCGATCTTAATAATTTGAATTGAGCAGATATTATATTGAACAATATGTTAAAAGAAAATTTTCCATCCTTATTACTTTGTTTTTTTTTTTCTTTTGATACCATGGAAATAAGAAAAAATAAACGATTACAACACAGCCAACACTCTAAGTCAAACAATTCAATGATATCAGCAATAAATAATAATAAGAGCATTTTTAATAGGGGGTTTTGCTCAGTTTTTTAGAAAGAAAAAATCATGTTAGAAAAATAAAATATGATTTATTTTGTATATTTCTTCAATTAAAAAAAAAAAGGATAAATGCAAAATGCAAAACTAATGAAATTTGAGAAAATTTTTGAAAAAATTATTGAAACAAAAGTAGTGTCTTATCAGTATGTTCCTAAATTAGCTAATAAGTTTCTCATGCCTTGACGAGATTAGCTAATAAGTTTGCTCATGCCTTGACAATGGCGGCTCGTTCCCAGACTGTTCTGTTATCTTAGTTATCTTCTTTCTCATCTTGTATTGAACATTTATGTTAACGAAGTTGTTTTGTTGGTTTAAAAAAAAAAAACAAAAAAAAAAAAAACCTTATTTTCATTGAATTTCTATAAAACCAAGATCTAGATTGAAATTTTCTATTTTACATTTATATACTATATTAGGTGTTCCATAGAGCATTATAATATTATCATGCCTTTTTGGAGTTTTGTCAATATATATAACCAATATAAGTTAAAACTTCAAATCATGTCACTTCCATAAATATATATAAGTATATAAAATGTTAAGTTACGGAGTTACCTACCCATGTTGACTTGCTCTTCCAAATCTAAACAACACACGTGAGGGGCAAAATCGTCCAAGCGAATAAAGATCATCCCTATATATATATACACATATATCCCTACAATGCTACGTGCATGGAGAAGGCACTCCACATGCAAGCTGCTTTATAGAGAGAGAAACTAACTGAGTTTTACAGAGAGAAATAGAAAGAAAAAAGCACCGAGTTTTAGAGAGAGAAACTAATTAGCACTCATCATCATGGGTAGCTTCTTATATATAAGTAGTCTACTTTTGACGGCGATGGTCGCCGGCGTCAACTCGTGCCCGGCGGCGGACAAGGCGGCGCTGGTGGCTTTCAAGAATGGGCTCCAAGAATACAAGCTGGGGATCTTTGACACGTGGAAAGGGGATAACTGCTGTAAAGGGTGGTACGGAGTGAGTTGTGACCCGGAGATTCACCGAGTCGCCGACATTAACCTCCGAGGCGAATCGGAGGACCCGATTCTGGCGAATAAAACCGGGGTCATGACCGGTTCGATTTCGCCGGAGATTTGTAAACTCGAGCGGCTCTCCAGCCTCACTATAGCGGATTGGAAGGGGATTGGTGGGATCATCCCGGAGTGCATTACTTCCTTGCCGTTTCTCCGAATCATCGACTTGATCGGAAACAAGCTCTCCGGTCGGCTTCCGGCGGATATAGGCCGGTTGAGCCGGCTCACTGTGTTAAACGTGGCGGACAACGCCCTCAACGGCCGGATCCCCCGGTCCATCGCTAACCTCACCGACCTGAAGCATTTAGATCTCCGGAACAACAGATTCTCCGGCGGAATCCCGAGAACTTTCGGCCGGCTAAGAATGCTGAGCCGGGCATTACTAAGCGGAAACCGGTTCATCGGTCCGGTCCCCAACTCGGTTTCCTACATCTACCGTCTCGCCGATCTAGACCTCTCAATGAACCGCCTCTCCGGCCCAATCCCGGCTTCTCTGGGGAAAATGCCGGTTCTCGCCACACTAAACCTCGACGGCAACAATTTTTCCGGCAGCATTCCGCCGCAGTTGCTGAGCTCCGGCATAAGCATACTAAACCTTAGCCACAACGCCTTTGAAGGCCACATCCCAGACGCTTTCCTCCCCAAATCATACTTCATGGTAATGGATTTATCCTACAATAAACTCACCGGAAATATTCCAAGCTCGATCAAATCCGCGTCATATATCGGCCACCTTGACGTCAGCCACAACCACCTCTGCGGTCCAATCCCGTCCGGTCCACCGTTCGACCGGCTGGAAGCCTCATCTTTCGTCTACAACGACTGTCTCTGTGGGAAACCACTTAGAGCCTGTTAATTAAGATAACATAATTTTAGTATTATTGGATATTAATTAATATCTATATATATTTTAATTTTGTGGGTTGATGTATAATTTTAAGATAAAAATATATTTATCTGCTTTATGTGGTAAGTTACTAAAGTAACGATCTTGTCTGTACTTGTGGTTTTTTTTTTTAAATAGTAAAATATTTCATGCATAAATATGTGTGTATTTTACAGTGTTTTGGTGGCGGTAGATGCAATTATTGACCAACCCCAATTGCTTAGAAATTTACAGTACATATCACATGCAACATGTTACTACTGCGTTGTATTACTTAAATAATATTTGTGCTATCAAATAATTTATAAAAAGTTAACAATTGTCGTGTCATTAGTGTTGATGATTCGGGGAGTAATTTGAAAATTATTTTTTTTTTCATTTATTTATTATCTATTTTGGGTATATAAATATATGATTTTTATTTACCTACTTAATGAAATTCGAATTCAATTATTTTGACTTGATTCAAATAGTTAATAGACTCAACTCAAAATAGCTACTTGCATAAGTCAATTTTCTAACATTATTTGGCAGGATACTTTATTTTTGGAAATAAATGTATTAGCAAACAATTGATAAGTCTTGCCCACAGCAATTGATTGATAAGTCTTCATAAGTTTATATATAAGAGCAATTCAAATAAGTCCAATTTATCAATCAAATAGGCTCTTGACTACCGTCGCTGATAACAAAATCACGGTCATTCACAAAAAGGCGATCAAATTGAACGCCGATCAATCGGATTGGTCGCCTTCACTGAAGAACATGACCAGTTCGGTTGCCTTATTCACGCGGTCATTAGTCACCAGTGACAGATTTCATCGTCGAAACTTCATTAACCAGTTATTCTAGGTGGATAATTGGTTATATATTGGGTCCAAATGCACCAAAATCACAAGTTAAATATTTAATTACAACTTTTAAAAGTTCAGGATCTAATTATTTTCTCATATAAAGTTCAAGAGCTTATTTCACATTTTTAATATTATTATTATATATTATAGAGATAGACAATGTGATATTGTATGAGTACGTCAACTCATTTTCAAAGGGATATTGCTGGCCAAGCTTCTTGATCACATGCCTCACTTGACAGGCGATGTTGATGTTGGAAACATGATAAGACCAAATCGTCCATCTCATCACCGCAAGCAAGTCTACAGATCCAGACTGCAAAAAAAAAAAAAATAATAATAATAATAATAATAATAATAATAATAATCATTATTATTATTATTATTATTATTATTATTATTATTATTATATTATTATTATTATTATTATTATCATTATTACACTGCTGGAAATCAGTCATTTTCCGACCACTTTTCCGACCACAAAATATTTTGGACGCAAAAAGGCAAATTTTTTCCCTTTTTCGTCAAGCGGCAAAGTCGTCGGAAAAGTGGACGGAAATTTCCGTCAACTTCAATACGTGGACGGAAATCTCCGTCCACTTCTATAAGTTGACGGAAGTTTCCGACTATGTGTAAACGTGGTCGGAAACGTTAGCGATTTTTTTGTGGGTGTGCGTCGGCGTGTTTTAGCGACCAATTGGGTGGTCGGAAAGTCCCGTCCACTGTTGTATGTAGTTGGACCGTCCACCTTTTTAAAAGTGGTCGGAAATATTTGCTTTTTCATTTTATAGAAATTAGCTTTTATTTCCGACCACTTCTGGTGGTCGGAAATTACTTTTTATACATACCTCCCTATAGTTTGCTTTCTCTTCTTCTAGTTTTTTTTACTCATTTCTATAAATTTCTTCATTTTTCGAAGAGATTTTTCACTAAACCTCTCACAATAGTGTAGAAATCAAGCTAACATATGTGTATATATTCTTAGAACTTTTTTTTATCCCATTTTTATTAGATCAAGCTAGTTTGAATATTTACACCTTTGGATTATTTTTTTTTTCTTTTTGCAGGAAATTTTTTACTATGTTATCTGGATGGCAGACAGTCGAAAAATTTTCATATCCTTATTGTCTTTAGTATTCTAAATCATTTTACTTGAATAATGGTCATAAAACATGTTGGTTTGAGTGTCACCGTCAATTCCTTCCAATGAATCACTCTTGGAGGAAGAATCGAGATACTTTCGTCAAACGACGGGTAGATAAATCAATACCTCCACCAATTAGGACAGGGGATGAGTTGTTTCATTGTTTGGAAAATATCCCAAGGGTTATTGATGGTCCAATTGATCGCATTGAGGGGTTTGACAGTCACACAATTGGGAAAAAGGGGGCATATTTTAAGATTTACCTTATTGAAATGATAACTTGCTACGTCATAACCTTGATGTGATGTATATAGAGAAAAATGTGTTTGATAACATTTTTCACACAATTATGGATGTCAAAGGCACATAAAAAAACAAAGACACGCCTAATGCACATCTCGATATGAAGGATGTATGTAATAGGCTACAACTTGAGTTGGTTGAACATAATGGACGTTTTCTTATGCCCAAGGCGAGCTACAGTTTGGCTACATGTGTTGATTCTACATCTTCTAAATTAATTGGGACGAAAAGTCACGATTGCTATATTTTTTATCTAATTTCTTTTACTTGTAGCCTTCATGTTTTTACCAAGTTGTTGCTAGAAGCCATGACCGTTTTCTTTCGTTGGCCATGACCCTTTTTTTTTAAAGATAAATTCTTTTTAATTATTATTATTATTATTTTAATTAATTTATAATAAATAATATTTTTAATAAAAAATAAAAATAAGGACACGTGTCAACACTGTATGCATTTAACTTGATAAACAAGTCGACTTGAACTTAATTGAACAATTTACAGGTTTATAGAACCTGAATGAAGCTTTTTTCACTTAGGAGATCCAATTGCATTATCCACTCATCTTAGAGGACTAATTTGACACTTTTTCCTATATATAATAATAATAATAATAATAATAATAAGAAAGAAAAAAAAATAAGAATCTCACTTTTTAGCGCCATTCTAAAAAATTTCGCCCAAATTTATGGCGCCTTAGCTTACTGCTAGTGTATACCCTTCGGCCTTCTCCAATTTACACCCTGCCAGCGCCATTCCCTCCTCCCTCCTCCCTCCTCCTCCCTGCCTCACAAATTTCACAAATCACTCTACCGCCTCTACCCACTCGACGACGCATCGACGCTCCTCATTCCGCCATCACTCTACAACGCCATTGAAGTAAGTTATTCATGTTCCTTCCTTCCTAATTTCTGTGTGCTTCTGAAAGTTAGGGTTTTAAAATTTGTAGTTATTCATGCTCCTTCCCCCTATTATAACCATATACTTAAGCGTGGAGTTGTAACAAAAGTATCATGACCTTTTATGATTCTTCTAGTTTCATTTTTCACCGAATTTTAACATTAATTATGAACATGTAGTGCTGCTTTATGAATATTGTAAATGCATTTCTTTCAGGACTTGTGGTTCCAGATGTTCCTCTTGAGTTTTGGTTAATGACTATCTCAGTGACCATATAGTTCTGAAAGTGGTTTCTTAATTAGTTTTATGTTTTTTTTTTTTGTTTTTTTTTTAGTTGTCTGCTAACACCGTTTTTTTTTTAACTAACTTCAACTAATATGCTTTTGATTCACATCATTTGATAAGATTTAAGTTAAATATGAGCACTAATTAGGAGTAAATTTGACAATTTTTTACTGTAATGAACATATATAATTAGCTCTAATTAGCTCTTATTATCATATGAGATAATTAGTATCCCTGTTTGAGAATAATGCTTACTGCCTTAGTTAATCCTTGTTAATTTCAAGCACTGTGTAGTTAATCCTTGAGAATAATGCTTACTGCCTTAGTTAATCCTTGTGAATAATCCTGAATCCAAGCACTGTGTAGTTAATCCTTGTTAATTTCATCACATTTTGTTAATTATTACTTGAATGCAATGGGATAATTAGTATCCCTATTTGAGAATAATGCTTACTGCCTTAGTATTGTGATGATGAAGCTTAAATTATTTTCTGTGGTTTAATAGCCTAAGTTATGTCGCAACGTAACTCAAAGCAAAAGGGTAAAAGCTTGATGTCCCAACCTTCGACACAACCCCGACAGGTGCATGAAAGTGATTCCGAGCGTGGGTGGGATGGTAACTTCCCATCCAACAACTGTAATATACTCTTCAAAGAATGGGTGGGATGGTAAGTTATATTAGATATGTCTTGTATACAAGTTGTAGAAAACCAATAGTCACTTCATTTTAGAATGGTTTCAGAATCTCTGCGGCTTCTCTCGTTGCATGATAACAAATATTTGCGGTATTTCAAGGGTCATCATGACAGGTACAATATTACGAAACTATTAATGTATATCAACCTTCAACATACTCCCCATAACACAAGCACCATAATTGGGATGCTCTATCTTTGACTTGCAGGGTTGCCTCACTTAGTATGTGCTCCAAAAAGGAGTGCTTTATTTCTGGTTCACTTGATCAAACTGTTATGCTCTGGGACCAAAGAGCTGAAAAATGCCAGGTAAAAACTAAGCAAGCACTTATCCATGCTTCTTTCACATTGAAACTTATAAATGATGTACTCTCTGTTCTTAGGGCTTTCTACGTACACAAGGAAGACCAGCTATTGCTTATGATGAGCAAGGGTTTGTTTTTGCAATTGCTTTTGGTGGATACATAAGAATGTTTGATGCATGCAAGTATGAAAAGGTTTGCAACTAAACCCGAAAATGAGTCACATTTTTCAGTACATTATTTTGCTTCTGAACCTGAACTCTTAGCATTCATTAATTTGTCAAAAGTTGCATCCTTGAAGGACCTATTCGAAATATTTTCAGTTGGTGGAGATGTATCAAATGCAAATGTTGTCAAGTTCAGTAGTGATGGCAAACTTATGCTTTTGACAACTCCAGATGGAAAAATTCATGTCCTTGATTCATTCCGTGGCACGTGCATGAACTTTTATGGTCCTGCCTTCACATTTTTATATTATTTGTAACTGTATATGTATTAACTGTTTCCAATCTATTGATCCTAATTTGCAGAGAGTCGACAGCCATGAAAGTAGTGGCGTTGAGCTAGATGACTTTGGTTTCAATGATGACACACAATCTCCTACGCAAGCGGAATAGAATAAAGATACTAACACTTTTTGTGATGCTACATGTGATGTAAGAAGTATTTTGATTTGTAAAGTTGAATTTTAGAATTGGAAACTAGTTTTTATGGAGGTGGATATTAGAATTAGAATATTATGTGTAACTAAATTTGCTATTGAAATGTATAATCTTTGAAGTGATATTGTATTGTTATGCAATTATTACTTGTTTTAAAATTGTTAAAGCAATGTATAATTTGTAAGAAAGTGCATATCAAAATAGAATTTTTTTTTTAAAAAGAAAATTATATATTTGGATTTTCCGACCAGCAAGTGGTCGGAAAAATAAATACCACAAGATGGTTGGTCCGGAATTTCCGACCACGTGGTGGTCGAAAATTCCGGACCAGCCATGTCGTGGTTGGACGGTTTTTCCCGACGGTCAACAAAGATGGTCGGAATTTCCGACCACTTTTGCCGGTGGTCAGAGTTACCGACGATGGATTTTCCGGATACCCATTCTGGACGGAAAAGTGGTCGGAAAGGGTGTTTCCGACTGAATTTTGGGCTTTTCCGACCACTTTTTGGTGGTCGGAAATCCTGTGATTTCCAGCAGTGTTATCATCATTATTATTATTATTATTATTATTATTATTATTATTATTATTATTATTATTATTATTATTATCATCACATTTGTTACAACTACGTTGTTCATATTTGAAGCCGTAAACCTAATTCCCATTATGAAAATTATATTTTTTTATGTATTGCATATTTGCATCTATTTCTTTTCTATTCTATAATTTCCTTGCATATAAATTACAAGCACATGTTGATTCCGGGTTTGGGAGTAACAAATATGCGAAGAAAAATGTTCTCTTTTAGTGTGTTTGGTTGGAAAGAGACTATGAAATTAATGTTAAATAAATTAAATTGTTTCTTTTTAATATTGTCTATTACTTATTCTCTTGAGTATATATTATTTGATACTATATATACTGAGTATTATATTATACTTATACAAAAAATTTATACGGGTCATTATAGTATACTTATAAGAGTTTTTTATCAACAATATATTTTTTATCGCATAAATCTTTTTATTTTCAAATTTTTCTTCTTACGAAGTATAGAGTTAATTGCTATTAGTTATGTAAATGCATTTTCATTAGTTTTTGTGATGGGCTTACTAATAAAGTAAGTTCATGTAACAAGCTAACCTTGCTTTTTGCTATATTAAGGTTTTATAGTTTATTTATTTAAGTGATATTACATACTTTACAAGTATTGAGATCAATTTGAAATGATTTATCCTATGAAACTTTTTACAAACGAATTAGTTTGAGACAAGAAATGATTAGGTTTTCATTTATTATATTGCATAACAAACAAGATATATATATATATATATATATATATATATATATATATATATATATATATATATATATATATATATATATATATATATATATATATATATAATGGTTCAAATGCAGACATTGCTTCCCGTGCGACTGGTGCAAATTCACTATTAAGTATGTAAAAATGCACTACACAATGTTTGGAAATGCACCACAATGAAATGCACCCAAAAAAAAAAAGCACCACACTACACCATAACTAATGATGCATTTCTGAACACTTTGTGGTACATTTATGCGTATCTAACTGTGGTTCGACCTATCGCCTTAAAGTCTTGCTCCAACAACGGTGTGAAAAACTTAATGTTAAAAAAAAAAAAAAAAAAAAAAAAAAAAAAAAAAAAAGAAGGAAAAATAGCCTTGAAAGAGGCGGCGATGTAGAACATATTTTTGTGACAGAAGTGTCAAATAGCTCCATCTACTATTCACAAGTGCTCAATTAATCCCCTGTTCTAAAATAATATCTAATGGATGACATTTACTTTTAAAATTATGTCTGCTTAACAATTTCTCCAAGTTTCCATCAGGTAACCATTTCATAATATTGGCATGGAATTTAAATAAAAAAAAATTGATGACTTGTTTCATTGTTGACTCATTCGAACCCAGACAAAAGCGTTATTCTCTCCCTCCTCATCCTCATCCTCACCACCATATTGCAGTTGTCGATCTGAAAATTGTTTGATGCCGGCCTCCCACTTGTTACTTGTGTGCCCAAGTAATCCCGCAATATCTTTAGTATGAGGTTTCTGAAACTTTCTATGGTTGTACGATATTTATATGCCTATTACCATGCCCTTTCATGCTTTGCTATAGAGCTCACTGGCATCCCTCCTGAAACTCTTCGCCGCCTAATTCCTGAACATGCTCTGAGGCAGAACTATTCATGGTCTTGCGCTCCTAGTCATAATTTTGAATTTCATTTCTCCGGTTTACTTCAACTGCCTCGGTTGGGCGTGCACCAATGGTAAAATGTCCTATAATTTACAAGGTGTTTGAAACCAAATTTGCCATGAAATTTTGAACTGGACAGCCAATTAACGCATCTATTCTGTTTATTTTGGATGTGTAGAGTGTCGATAGTGCTATCACTCACCAACCTTTCACGAACATACAAGGGAGAGCCTAAATGATAGTGTAAAGCCAAAAGAAAGTGCTGATTTTATTTTTAGATCGGCAACCGCGATGATGGCGGTGAGGATGAGGAGGGAGATAGAGAGTAGCGTTTTTCTATGGATTTGAATGAATCAACAATGAAACAAGTCATCAAATTATTTTTATTTAAATTCCATGTCATGATTATGGAAGGGTTACCTGATGGAAACCCGGAGAAAATGTTAAGTGAACACAATTTTAAAAGTAAATGTGACCGATTAGATCTTATTTTAGAACAATGAGTTAATTGAGCAGTTGCAAGTGATATATGTAGCTATTTGACACTTCCTCCTAACTTTGTACATGAAAGTCACAAGTTTAATTTTTAACAATACTCTCTCGATCATATCCAATATTCCATCAATTGAGTCTATCACATAATATATTTTTTAATGCAACAATTTACTTATACTGTGTGATTTAGAATTATTATGTAAATTATGAGTTGTGTGTACATTGAAGAAGAGTGGTGAATTGGCAATGAAGAGTGGCACGACAGCACACGTGAAGGCCCTTTTGCGGTGGACCAAACCTATCTTGCATTTGCCATCAAACACGGATTTGGCACTGAAAAGGAATTCTTCCACTCCAGCTTTAATCACTTTCTTAATTAATTATTCTTATTATTATTACTATGTCATTTCATTTCTGACTTTCTCATTATTTCTCAATCATTGTTCTTACATGAATAAGGCATCAAATCAGTTTTTCTTTTTGTTGAGATTTTGGTTGATTGGGGTTTCATGCATTGCACTTAATTAATTATTAGGTTTCAACTTTGAGTACGTAGTTTAATTTGTTTGTATAAACTAATATACTTTGGTTCATTAGCTATAACACGTTTAATCGTTGGAATATAATGCTCTCGCTTTCACAAAAATTTAACCATTTTTTACATGAGAGTTTTTGGTATATATAGTTTAGATTTAATTTGATGATTGTTTTTAACCAACATGGTTGGCGACTTGGCGTGGTGGTTCAGCACCTTGTCCCTTAAGCATGAGGTTGAGGGTTTGATCACCACCCATGTGAATGGAGCAAACCAAACCATTTTGCTGACAGTAGGGACAGGGGATAACCATCTTGCTGACAGTAGAGACATGTGATTAGTCTTCTGGTTATCTGGAGGGATACCTTGGGCAACCATTTTTTTTTTTTATATTTTTTATGATTTTGAAAAAGTTGAGAGATTAAAAATGGTCAAATTAAGCGTCGAGGATAAACATGCATGACAGTATTAATTATATGTATATATATATATACATATACATATATATATATATAGACATATATATATATATGTATATCTATACATATATATATATATATATATATATATATATATATATATATATATATATATATATATATATATGTCTATATATATATGTCTATATATATATATAGGGAAGGGTTCAAGTGCGGGTATAGCTTCCCGTGCGGTTAGATCTGAGCCGTTGATCAACGGCTCAAATCAATGAAATTTTTTTTTAAAAAAAAAAAAAAAAAAAAAGTGCCCGTGTCTGGAAGAAAGAAGCATAAGTTAAAAATGACGCACCTTAATTAAGTGATAGAAACACGCACTTTAAGTGTTAGATCTTAAGCACAAACTCACGCACATTAAGTACAAAATTCACACACATTAAGCACAATCTCACGCACATCAAACACAAAACCCACGCACTTTAAATATTAATTCACAGACTTTAAGTTTCAACAACTACTGACATTAAGCACAAACTCACGCACATTAAGTACAAAACCTACGCACATTAAGCACAACCTCACGCACATTAAGCACAAAACCCACGCACTTTAAGTATTAACTCACATACCTTAAGTTTCAACAACTACTGACATTAATCACTAACCTCACACACATTAAGCACAAACCCTATGCACATTAAGCACAACTCCACTCACATTAAGAACAAATCTCACGCACCTTAAGCACAAAAGTCCACACTTTAAGTTTTAACAACTACTCACGTTAAGCACAACCTCACGCACATTAAGCATAAAATTTACGCACCTTACACACAAACATTACGCATCTTATATACAGAACTCACGCACATTAATCACAGATCCGCTCACCTTAATTTTGACCTAAATGTAAAAATTACAAAATTGCCACCGC